TCTATTTTTTCAGTAATGTTATGTTACCTACTGGGAACTGCTGCTGAAAATAAAAAGGTGAAATTTTACTATCTAGACTGTTTAACTCCTTAGTGCTAGAGGCCATTTCCTTCCAACCAATTTTTATGGGTGTTATTGTGCAAGAAAGTGCTGCAATGAAACATGCAGTGGAGAATTAAAAGCATGAAAAATCTACTCAGCTGGAACGTTTGGGAGCAAACTATTTGGTTAAAGGGGAATGTGCAATTATTGCAGTGCATGTGCCACTCAAATGTGTGTGAAACCACAACATGGTAACAGCTGACACATGATTTAAAAAAAAAAAAATTCAGTTCCTTTATTTTTTTTTTTTTTTGTGCTCAAGAGAGAGAAGTTTTGAAAGTTCTGGGTTTAGGTTTCTTTATTTGGAAATAGTGGACTACTTTTAAGATAACCACAGTGGCAAAAAAAGTTCAAGCGAAATATTCATTGTAGCACTACTAGGGAAAGAGTCTCTTATTATTCCTAGGGTTTCTGTGAGGGAAAACAAAATCAGCTCCAGTGGTGACAAATTGTATCATTCTTATTTTGTGTTATAAACCTGCATACCAGGCTATACACAACAATCTCTCTTGTAAAACAAGATGATAGCAGTTACTGACGTCAAGAGTGAATACTATCTTGATCTGGAAATGGCACAACTCTTCCTCTCCCAAAAGCGAGCAAGAAATTCAGATATTCCACTTAGCTCAGTCATAGAGCATTTAAATAGCTAAGATTTCATTTTTAAAAGGTCAGTTGAACAAACTAGTGAGAAAATAATGTTATTTTGTGGAATCTAATTGGATTTGAAAATGCTTGGAGACAAATACACACTTTTATAGTTCCATAGCATCAGAATATCAATGCTCTACATTCTGCTTGAACTAAAAGAAGAGATTAAATAAAAAGCAAGATCCAGTGTTTCCTCTGTATCTATCAGTCTAAGAGCAAAACTATAATTTCCAAGGACTGCACAAATACCAATCATTGCCTAATATCCAAGGGAAAATGGCTTGCTAAATGTTTTCAGTTTTAACTGATGTGGAAAGTGAGGAAGGTACTCACTGTAGGTAATTTAGAAGGCGATTATTGGTAAATAAGCACTTAGCACCTGACACCAGACATAACGCATATAGAAAAGAAATGAAGTAGTCACGTGATTTAACAGTTGAGCCAAAATAGTTAATAGCCTGGCACAGATGTATTTTCCTCACATGTATTATAACTGTCAACTCATATGAGGGTGCTAAATATGGGTCCCCGTGCTGCTCTGAGTCACACATGAGCAGATTCTCAGTGCAGTGGAGCCTTGTCAGACTCAATGAAGCACGAGGCAGACACAACTGTCAGTGCCACGCACCTCACAGACCACAGCCCCAGGTTCAGACAGAAAACTGTACAGGGCTGTAGGTGATGGTTTCAGCAGCATCAGCCAGTCATCCACAGAGGAGGAGACTCCTGGACTCAGCAGCCACAGGGGTTCCCTCAAGAGACGTCCCGTTTCTGCCTCACTGGTACTGGAAGGGGATTCACAGGACCAATGGGATGCTGGTGCATGAAAGGTTTGGAATAAAAATCAGGTTTTGTACGCAGACTGCTTACAAGCTTTGAGCCAGCCCGGGCCACAGTTATCAAGGCATGTGGAAATAAAACAGAATTTCAAAACAATGTCTTGCTAGTCCAGAGCATAAGAACCAAGAACTAGGGCTTTGCTCTCCAGGCTGTTTTAGGCTGAGGGGAGGGCCAAAGGTAGCTTTGTGTCAGCATGAGTGAATATGAACTGGAATGAGATTTTTGCTCCAGTTCAGAGCAGCTTCCAGAAAGGAGGCTAAAGGGAGCTCCTTCAACACTCCATAAACATGTACACTGTGTACATTTTTTGTCTCACCTCTCATTCCTGCACACACAGCTTTGTGTCAGGGTTAAAGAAGTTAAAAATCAGATGAAATTTATAGTTCCTCTGGTCCTATATCCTTTTTTTTTTTAGCATGTAACTCTACAAAGGAAGTGGAAAAAAATGATACAGGAGACAGATGATGATAATTCATCTTCATGGGACTTATTTTCTGAATTTTGTAAATTAATGCAGTACTGGAAACCTGAGGGTGCAGGAAGGTTGTATTTTTATAAAAAATAGATTCTCCTTTTAAGGGGAAAATCATGTGGCCATTGATCAGCATTAAACACTGCACCTGCTTCAAGGAAATTCTGACTGACTGGTACGTTACCAGTTCCACTGTCAGAAAAAATGGAAGCAGCCTGCCTCAAAGTACGGTGAAACAGATAAAATATCATACTGTGGTGTATGCTTGTTTATACACTTAGATTTCACATGTTGTCTTTATTGCTCATTATCTGACTCATTTTCTGTTTATGCGCCATGAGAAAGATGCTAAGCAAAAGCTGACTCCTGGAAATACTTGACATTCTTTTCAGGCTAATTTTGTCCTGAGCTTGGCTGAAACGGCTCATTTTGAACCACTCATAAAAGGATGTCTGCAGCAGGGAAGACAGAATATTTTCATTTCAGAGAGCCCTGCTGTGTTATATTCCCTGATTTTCATCAAAACCAGACCATGTTTACTTGTCCCTTTGGCCTCAGGGTCAGGGTTTTTTCTTTAAATCACTTCAATTCTAAGTAGTCGTTTCACTCATTCCTGAGTTTCCCACAAAAACCTAAGCAGTGGAAGCCTGATATAGCTTGGGGCACTTTCCTAAGTACATCTCTGAAGTAAAAAAAAAAAAAAAAATCCAACAACAAAAAAATACCCTTACCCTGTAAACTCTTCAGAAGCAACGCATGAGCCCACAAACATGAGCATGAGGTTCATGAGGTTGGCCAAGGGGACGTAGCCGCTCTCCTCGCTAGGTCTCCCTGCATGTCACCTTCCACGGGCCAGCTGAATGGCCTGGTCCCTGCAGCCACAACAGCCCCCAGATCTTCACTTCTCTGACCAAAAGGGGCTTCCCAGGGTGGTGGTTTTGGGTAAGGCCAGAGGCTGGAGGCTGCTGTGGGAGAAGGTGGGGAAGGGCCTCATCAGCATTGGGTTTGCTGAGAGACTCTGAGGCAGTTCTACTGTGGGCAGAGACCCCACCTTGGGTTGGCAAGGGGTCATTGCCCCTCAGGCAGGGGTGGCTCCACAGGAGGGACTGAGAAGTGGGGCAGCAGTGGGGCAGCTCACTCTGACCCAGCCAAGGAAGAATCATAGAATCACAGAATCAATTACCTTAGAAAAGACCTCTGAGATCATCAAGTCCAACCCATGACCAAACACCACCAGCTAGACTGTGGCACTGAGTGCCGTGTCCAGTCTTTGCTGGATGTCCCTCCAGGGACAGTGACTCCACCATTTCTGGGCAGCCCATTCCAATGTCTAATCACCCTTTCTGTGAAGAAATTCCTCCTAATGTCTGACCTAAATCTCCCCTGGCACAGTTCAGGAATATGCCCTCTTGTCCTATTGCTGGTTGCCTGGGAGAAGAGACTGGCTCCCACCTGGCTACAACCTTCTTCCAGGTAATTGTAGAGGATGATAAAGTCACTCCTGAGCCTCCTTTCTCCAGGCTGAATCCCCCCAGCTCTCTCAGATGCTCCTTGTTGGACTTTTGCTCCAGACCCAGAGGAGAAGGGGGGCTCTCACAGTGAGTGAGTGGGGATGGGGGCGGCCTCAGTAGTGAGGGGGTTGGTGCTGTCCATGAGCCAAAAGGCCAATGGGATCCAGGTGTGCAGTAGGAACAGTATTGCCAGCAGACTGGGATGGGATCCTGCCCCTCCAGTCAGACCCAGTGAGACACATCTGGAGTGCTGTGTCCACTTCTGGGCTCCTCAGGTCAAGAGAGACATGGAGCTCCTGGAATGGGTCCAGCAGAAGGAAACAAAGATGATGAAGGGACTGGAACATCTCTGTGATGAGGAAAGGCTGAGCGAGCTGGGCCTGTTCAGCCTCAAGAAGAGACACTGAGAGGGGACTCATCCATGTCTGTCGAGGTCTGCAGGGAGGGGACACAGGATGGACCAGGCTCTGCTCGGGGGTGCCCAGCAATGGGACCAGAGGCCATGGGCAGAAACTGATGCCCAGAAAGTTCCACCTGAACATGAGGAAGAACTTCTTTACTGTGCAGTGACTGAGCAATGAAGCAGGTTGCCCAGAGAGGGTGTGGAGTCTCCCTCACTGGAGATACTCCAGAATCATCTGGACACAATCCTGTCCAAGTGCTCTGGGATGACCCTGCTTGAGCAAGGAGTTTGCACCAGATGACCCACCGTGGTCCCTTCCGACCTGAACCATTCTGTGATTCTTTGAGAGGATTAGAGGGGTTCTGGGAGGTGTGAGGGGTATGTGAGAGAGTGTGAGAGAGTGTGAGGGGTCTCTGATGAGGGACTGTGAGGGTGCTGTGAGGAGGATATGAGGATGATGTGAGTGGGATGTGATGGGCTGTGAGGGGGGGGGCCGTGAGGGGACTGAGATGAGGGGCTGTGAAGGGGTTATGAGGCGGTTATGGGGGGCTGTCAGGTGGATGTGATGGACTGTGAGGGAGGGCTGTGAAGAGGGTGATGAAGGGGCTGTGAGGGGGTTATGAGGGGGATGTGAACGGCATGTGATGGGCTGTGAGGGTGCTGTGAGGACTGAGGAGGGGCTGTGAGGCGGGTGATGACGGAGATGTGAGGGCTGCGGACGCTGTCAAGGGAACGGTGCCGAGGGGACGGCGCTGAGGGGGCCGATGCCGGGGGCGGCCCCGGGGGGGCGGTGCCGCTTCCCCGCGCGGGGGGCGGGGCCACGGCGGTGCCGTCACCCCCGCCTGGCAACGGCGTGGGGGCGGGGGCGGCGCGCGGCTCTCGCGGGACTTGGCGCCCCCCGCGGCGGGCAGGGCGGAGGCAGGGCTGGCGCTGCCCGAGCGCGGCTGAGGCGGCGGCGGGAGCGGCGGGAGCGGCAGGACGGGACGGGACGGGACAGGACAGGACGGGCTGGGCTGGGACGGGCGAGCGGCCCCTCTGCCTCGGGCCGCCCGCGGCTCGGAGCCGCCCCTTCCACGCCCGCAGCGCCCGCGGATGGACCCGCCGGGCCCGGCTTGAGCGCGTCGGCGGGACCCGGAGCCGCTCCGCCGAGCCCGGGCGGGCGGGCGCAGCATGGGTGAGTGAGCGCCGGCGGGACCGGACCCTCCTCCCGCTCCGCCCCGGGGGAGCGCTTGGGGCGAGGGGACGGCGCGGGGCCCGGGGCAGCCCCCGGTGTGCCCGGGGGCGGGGGCCGATGGAGGAGCTGCGGGGCCCGGCAGGTGCCCGCAGGTGCTCGGTGAGCGATCGCTCCGGGGAGAGGCCGGTCCCGGGGGGTCTGCGGGTTCTCTGGGCTTCGGTGGGGAGAGCGAGGTGTAAGAGCGAACACTGGCCCCGTGCTGGTTGGAATAAAAGTTTCTGTGGTTAAATCCAGCCCTCCTTTCGCTTTTTTTTTTTTTTTTTTTCCCCCTCCCTACTCGGCTTCAGTTTGAGCTGCACCTTCACCCGTTTCTCCATCGAGGTGTTGGCTTAAAGAGAGACAGAGCACAGCGACCGGGAGCGTTCCTGTGTTCGTGCTGTGCAGGTTCAGGTTTACGCTGGAAGCAGTCGGTTGTACTGCGTTTGGTTTTTAATGGGAGAGCGTCGGCGTGAGGACGTGTGAATGACTTAAACACCGCTCAGCAGAGCTCTCTTTCCTCACAGGCAGTGTCCCCACTGATGTTCAAAAGGGTCCACTGACCATTTTGTTTGTCTTTGATACCTCCAGTCTTGTCGCACCTCTTGCTCTCCTGTGTAACATCATCTCCATGTACTCTGGAGAGGTGCGTGTTACACTGTGTGCTTATGCTGCTCTGTGCAAATGTGCTATTTTAGAGCGGGATTTAAGCTTTTTAAGTGCAAGGATACCTGGGTTTTGAATAGCTCTTCTTTATCTCCATCTTCATCCCTATAAAACTGAAGAGGTGCAGGGTGTGCAGGTCAAACGTGCAGTTACTGAAGCAATAAAAGCTCCTCCTGACTCGTTTTCTACTGATTATGAAGATGGGCTTTCAGTGTTTTCATTTCAGTGAAAGAAGCCTTATGTGGCCAAAGCACACTGAGAGTGAAGTCTGGAGCTTTAAAGTGAAATGAGTGTTTTAAGATCTGATGCAAACCAAACTCTAAAGAACTTGCTTTTTGTGATTGTTCAGAATAGGTAAGACTTGCTGTTTATTTCTTTTTGGGCTGTGTTGTTTTATTTGCAAGTGAGAAGTGTCTGTCCAGGTCATTGCAGTGGCTTGTGATGGTAGTTCCTAAAGCATAAAAGTTTAGTGTGCTAATTAAACATTTTGAAGTCAAACTGCCATGATGAAATGTGAAGTACCTCAGGATTTACATATGGTATGTCTGGGTTATTAAAATCATTAGTATAGTATACTCTATTAGTACAGTTAGAAATACTGTGTAAGACTTAAGGAAGGACTGAGTCTAGTTTATGATTGTACATATGTATGATTATTGTGTGGTATAAAACCATGTATACATTGTTTTATGTATTTTTTCCTTAAGTTTCCTTTTCTTAAGGCACTCCTCTTCTGATGACAGTAATGAGCATGTTATTACTGCTGCAGAGGCTACTGAACTGAGTGGGTGCACACACTGTGTCAAGTATTGTTATTGCGTGGGTTATGCTAACCATAACAGTTTGTGTGTCTGTGCAGTTAGAGAACAGTTCCTGCCAGAACGCTGGCAAACCTCTGTAAAGGATTGTGGAATAATCCCAGAACCTTTTAAACAGATTTTCTCTGAAGGTGTTCTCCTTTATGCAGATTTCCAAGTGTTGCTTTCTTTTGATCGAAAGCAGAGAGGAATGTGTATCTCTAAGAGTGGAAAAGAACTAAATCTAGCTTACCCTGCACTCACTGTATTTAGTGGTGGCCTCACATTTTACCTTGAGAAGTCATTAGTTGATTATTTTATTACTGGCGTCATGGCAGAGCTGGTTCTTGATAAGAGATTGTTTGCCTTTTATGTCAGCTTGATGAAGAGATTTTACATGTGAGAGGTGGCTTAGAGGGGAGTGTTGAGTATCTCTGGCAGACTCAGGGGTTTCTGAGATCTAGGGAGAAGTAAGAACAGGGCAGTGTGACTCTGGAGGAACCAAAAGGAGAAGGGCAGAAGTACAGAATGCCTTGGAACAGGTTCTTTTGTGTTCTTTCAGTAGCTGGAAATTAGTGTTTCAGGAGCACGTGTCACTCAGGCGCCTGAAGGGTGGGGAGGAGGATGTTGTCAGAGGTGACACACGAGACCATATGAAGCTACTAGTAATGCCCACTGACACACTTGAGCTCTGTCATTATAATTCTTTGCATGTTGTACCAGCTTAATCATGTGGATTCAATATATGACTCCACAAACAGCTAGAGAAACAGATTATTTAAAGAAAAAAATATATTCAGATGTTCTAGGGGAAAAAGACTTTATTTGATTGAATTGTCCTTTGCTGTTTTGTGTTGATATCCACTTGGAGAGAGGTAGAGTTCTGTGTGTTGGTGCATTGTAACATCTGTTTGCTTATATGGCTCAGTAACTGATAATTGGCCTAATTATAGTTAAGAAATGGTTGACTATACAAAATCTGTGTTAACAGGAAGGTTGAGCTAAATTTGCAGAGTCTCTTTGCAGCTAATTATCATATGGTTTTCCAACTAATAAAGAAACATTACAGCAACAATTGATAAACTGCCACAGTGGAACACTGAAATCTACTGAACTCCTGTCAGTACCTTCTTACCTATATGCATGCCCCCTCCTCTTTTATTTCCAAAAATTTGTACAAGCTTTGATTTTTGGTTCCCGTGAGTCACTACATTTGAAATTTTCTGCATTTGATCTTCAGACAATTTTGTAATTTTGGAATACTTTGGGAAGCCAAACATACTTGTTCATTGCCAACAGAATAAGTATAAATCTGTTTGATCTCTAGAGTAAGTTCATTGAGCATTAAACTTGAGTGAAGCCTTTTGCTTTTTTCACCTTCATGTTGGCAACAGAAAACAATCGTACAAGGTTTCTGTAAGCAGACTGAGAGCTTACAAGAACCTATTAGAACATTACTTCAGGGTTTGCTCTTTGATTTAAAAGCAAAACAAAAAACTCCACAAAACCTTTGCAATCTCCCCCTTCTTCCTCCCCACCCCCTTAAAAAAATGGGATACTCCATACAACCCCAAGCAAAGTGGATAGTATAGATGAACAGTCCTTTTGCTAATATTTTACCAAGAAATATGTTAGATGGGATGCCCAATTGAACTTCTATTGAAGAATACAATGATTGAATCAAAAGTGCAAGTTGTTAAACTTTTCTGTACTTGGAAGAGCCTAATGCTGACCAACTACACTTGCACTGGCCAAGCTGAGCAAGTACTTTCTTACTTCATTTCTTTATTCTAGACAAAACTGTAAGGGAGGATGATGTGAAGTTGACCTCTGGAAGAGAGATGCCTAAGCTACTGGGAAGCCTAATTACTGTGACTGGGAAGAGCTGATGGATACTGAGTTTGGGTCAAGATAGAGGAGAAATCCCATTGAAAGGTGCAAGAGATTCTGTCAGCTCAGCTCTTGCATTTTCCATTTTTTTTTTCTTTTTTTTCTTTTTTTTTTTTTTTCCCAAGAATGGAAGAGCTGCTGTACTGAGAGCCCTGACTGTGGAGTGGGTAGGGAGGAAAAGGATATGGAAAGCAGGTTTGAAATGGAAAGTTGTTCTTGTTTGGTCCGACAATCAGTAATTTATGGGCTTTCTCAGAGGTGTCTGTGGTTTCGTCAGAGCTTTTTTATAGATAGGAACAGACCATGAGGGACTTGGACCAAGGGGCATGAAGAATGTGGTTTTGCCAACCACAGCTGCCTGTGACAGTGGAAGTCCCTGTTTAACATAAATGGATGTGTGTGTGGGAAATATGTCCTTTCAGTGTGAGGGTATGTTTTTGTTTTTTGTTTCAAAAACTGCTACTTACTCTACCTGACAGTATTTTTTGAGAAATGGGGGATGATTGATTGGTGGCTTCAGTTTGAGAAGTTTTTCCACATCTACTTTTGTCCTGTGTCAGTCATTCCAGGTGATGGTCACCTTTACCTGATGGTTACTTTAATTTTTATTTCACTTTCATCTTGTTGAGGAGAGTTGCTCAGGACTGTGTATTTGTTATTCAACACTTAACTCTGTGCAGGGGTATAATATTTACTGTCTTGGTTTCTTCTGTTTTCCTTACAGTTCTTGTTTCAGCTAGGTAGGATCTATACCTTGAAATCTCTTTACCTTCACTGGCTTTCTCTGTTGTCCGACTGTGCTTGAGGTTGTTTTTTTTTTCTCTTGAGTGGGTTTTTGTTGCATAAACACAGGAAATGTGTGGTCAGGCACCCTGTGCTGGCTGGGGCTGAGCTGCCCGCTCTGTCCTGCTCTGGCTGTCATAGCTCTGCTCCTCCATCCGCTTTGCTTCCTTGGAGGTGCTGTCACATATGACTGCTGGTCTGGTAGCTCCACAACCTGGCTTGATAAAAATGATTTGTTAGGAAAGAGCAGCAATGTATGTGCTTAAAGTGACTAAAATCATCGTGACAGAAGTGGGTGAGTTGATCAGGTGAAACTCCTTGCTAGTGGATCTGGGGTGGGGTAGTGATTTCTAGCAGCTGTTCCAATCTGCGATGGCCACCTGGGCCCTTAAAAAGTGTCTCTGGTTCATGATAGGGGTTTAGCCTTTTTCTTCTGTTCCTTTTAAAGTGGGTGTTTGTCTTTTTTAAGCTGGCATCCTGTATTTTGTGATGTAGTTAAATTTCATTCAGCTTTTTCTTGTCTGACCCTTTTCCTTTCCATAGCATTGCTTTTTTCCTCTTCTCTGAATTGTGAATTTGCTAACCATCTCAAATGTTCCCAGCTCTCCGTGAAGGCAATGCCTGAGCCTTTGCTGTCCCTTATCATGGACATGTGGTGATGAGAAACAGTTTTCCCCAGTGCTGTGCTGTCCCTGTGATGGTGGGAGCACAACTCTGCTGGAGCACCACCCGTGGCTGTCCTGCTGCATTGGAAAAGCAGGACTGAATCACTGAAACTGCCTTTTCAGTCACCTCTTTTCCAGAGTGATCCCTTGCTGTGTTAAATAA